CCCAGTCCCCCAGTCCCCCAACCCAACATTGGACGGGGACCCGCAGCGCAGCGAAGGTTTTTCCGAACCGAAGGGGAGGACGGAACAGGGGTATGGCGACGACGGGAGGAGGCGACGAATGAGAGGCCACACAGGCCGGCCGCAGCAGGAGGCGAGGACATTAAAGCCCAGGGGGCGCCCGCTTCGAGAGAACGGTTTCCTTTCCCTTTTTCCCCCAAACTTTTTTTTTGGGGACCGCACGCACGACCGGAGGGAGGGCATTCCCAGACAGCGACGAGAGGCGCACGCACGACCGCGACAGCGCACCCCACCAGGACAGCGACGGGAGTCGCGAATGGCTCCAGCTTTCCCTGGACGATAAGTCGAGGATGAGCGATCCGAGTTTTCTTTTAAACCCCGTTGGTATCGACGTCAGGCGGTTTATCGAGTCGTTCGGTTTGGACTACCGACGGTTATTGGCAGCGTTAGCGGGCTCTCGTGCTTTAGTCACGGGTAGAGAGTTCTTACTGCTGATGGCAGGATTGCGGGACCCTCGGCTTCCATTACGGCCTGGGGCCATTATTCTCGATGTGTTGTGTTATAGTCGTGCGGCACGGAGCACGTTGGAGCTCTTCTTCCGCCAGGCTGGTTATGCGGTTTCGCGCTATCGTTGTCGCCACAATCTCGGAGAGTGGTCTTCGTTGCCGGCCGGCAAGGTGGTCTGCTTAGTACGGGGACAGTTATCTCAACGAGTCGTTCATCTATTGGAGCTTAAGCGTCCTCCTACCGAGGTAGTCTTGAGTCGTACCTACGGGAGCATGGCGGGTACCTATCTCACTGGAACGGGATCGGTCGTTTCGCTATTTCCTCATTTGACGTTTGTGCAGCGACGTTGTTGGATACCTCATCACATGAGTCGGTCGGTTCGCGCGAAGATTCGAGACAAATATCAAGAATGGTCTTTCGGTGAACGCAGGAGCGGTATAGACTCGCGTCTGGACGAGGTTGGCGCCGAGTTCCGTTCTCCTACGGATTCAACTTCATGGACTATTTCGTTCACCCAGGATGGGGCGATAAGTGGTATAGTGGTACCGTCGTGGGTAGGGTGAGTCCTCTTGCTATTTCTGCTTCTTGTAGTATCTCTCTTCGATAGTAACGCTTAAGTTTGTTACTGTAGTACATGTCCTGCAGGTCCGTCTTCGCCTAGTGGTCGTGTAAGGTCTGGTCGAGCTTGGGCTTCTACTTTTCCGGCGATGCGTGCACCTTGTAATGCGTATGGAAATGTTTATGATAAGTCGATTTGGATGTGGTAGCCTAGTAGTACAATGTTAATTGATTTATATCTATTCACCGAAATCAATACTTGTCTCTGCTTTCTTTTAATCCCACTCTGAGAGCCCTCCCTTCCGCTTTCCTGTAGAAAGGCGGGGTACGGGGCCGCCCAGGCCCTGTAGCGTGAGACGGAGCGTCAGCGAAGTCGAATCGTTCAACCGTGAGCTCTCGACGGACCTAGATGGCACCACGTCCAACAGACCCCCTTCCGACAGAAGACTTTGATTTTCGCTAAGTCCCACGAACAGTGGACCACGTGAGTGTCGCGACGGACGGAGCGTTCATTGGCGGAAGCCAGTGGATCCCGCTCGAGGGATGCGACCAATAGAGAGCATTCAACCAGTTCAGGGTTATGTGTGCGAGAGCAATCAACCACTTCAGGGTTAAGTATGGGGGGAACTTACTCTATAGTTTGTATAAGTTCCCCCAGTCCCCCAGTCCCCCAACCCAACATTGGACGGGGACCCGCAGCGCAGCGAAGGTTTTTCCGAACCGAAGGGGAGGACGGAACAGGGGTATACCACCGACAGGGGGAGGTGGGTCCACAGGAGGCGTTTTTGCCTCCGGGCGCGCAACAGGGTGAGCATTTAAAGGGCAGGGCCCCCGCTTTCGAGAGAAACGGATTTCCTTCTGCATCCACGCATGCACACGCGACAAGAGGAGCGGACCCGAATACCACGACGACGACGACGAGAGGAGTAGACAGACACGGAGTAGCATCCCAGCGAGAGCGGCGACCGTTAGGTTGTTCTCTTCCTTCGACCGGACCGGGAGTGTCGGGTCTCGACGGCGACGGAAGGCGCTCTTTTGTTCCCGAGAAGGGTATCCAGGACGGTTCCTCCGGCTTTACGTTTGGCTGATTGCCCATCCTTTTCTCGTTGTTTGCTTTTCTTTTTCGGACGAAAAGGAGAGGTAGTGAACAGTCGACGGGAGGAGAAAGGTTGAGGGCTAAGTCACTGACGATGGAGGAGCGAGAGCGATCTATGGTTTCCGTGTCCGGACGAGATGGATCGGCCGTGGTATTGTTCTCTCCAGAGGCGTTACGGAGGGCGCTGCTCGTAGCGCTTTTGGTGTTGACAAAAGAGTTCCCTTCGAAGTTGACCGAGTTTGTTTTTCTCGATGAGTTCGATGATCGAGCGGGTATTCCCAAGGTTCGCATGATTACCTTGGTTTTCCAACCTCCCTATGATGGACCGATAGGTCAGTTTCTTCAGTTGGATAACGTACGGCAGTTGTGTTACGCCCTCATACGATATTATCGGTCGGTGCTCGATCGGGTGGATCCCGAGACGTTGGCGTCGTTGCAGTACCAGGCTTTATCGCCCGTTCAGTTCTCTACCTGGATGGATCAACATTTGTTTCATTCGCCAGACCAAAGTCAGCAGGTTAGCTATAACCGCTTTAAGGATTGTATATTGGCGTTGTCAGACGAACCATTGCTTGAGCTATCAATGGGAGGTAATGAGAATCGGTATGATGCGTCTTTACGCGGAGGCCGAGCTACCAGGCCTGATGAAGTGGGTTAGGAGTATGGAGATATCTTCTGTTTTGTATCAGTAGTGTTCCCTAGAGACCTAGATCGAGTTAGACAATGTTCTTTCATTATTCGATTGATCATGCTCCAAGCTTAATCTCCTTAAACGATGCAATACGTAGCTTGATGAGTATAATTGTCGATGTATACAGGTGGTCACGTCATATCTTCTCCATTTGTGACTTTCTCTTTCCTTCTACGCTCCCACCTCATCACCCACTCACATACCCAGCACTCGTAGCCCTCCCCAGCTCTGTTTCCTAATTATGATGCCACAACGGCTTTGGACCGGAGCTATTCAAAGCGTCGCCGCTGGCCGCCGACCGTGCACGGACCATTGGCAACGAAGCGATTGATGACCGCGACGGGCAATCGCTTCGGCACAAAACAGACGTTAAAATGGGCGATGGCGGTCGCGTCCATGCAAGTCGAGGGCGCCAATGCTCAAGCAACGGTCCGTCAACCGTAAGACCGCATGGTTCGCCCGATGCAGCGAAGGAAGAATGGAGGGCCGGGAGGGCCAAGTTGTGGTTAGGGTTAGGGGATCCGCCGATTGGCAGGCGATTCAACCGATGTTGGGGTTAGGGTTTTCCAGGCCAAGGGGTACCAAGTTGGGGCCACAAGAGAGAGGGGCAGGGGTTATGGAGAAGAAGCAATCCAAGTTTGTTCGTGCCATCAGGCCGCAGGTTCCCATGAAGATGTAGTCAACATACCGGCGAGATACGAGCGATCAAGCCAGCCACCACCAGCCCGCCGAATAAAGTAACGATATATCTCGAGCCGAGCCATGGTAACGTTCAACGAGATATTCACACCATTGCCCGCATTTCGCACGGCAGTTTGCCGCGAGCATAGAAGTGTAGTCACGGCGCAGTCGGCCGTGTCGCATATCCATTCACAGCACCGCCATTTGGCCGTGCAGGTCCGCCAGCGCATTGCAGAGGAGGCGTTGGCGTTACAAGACGACGGTTTGTTGGCCGCTAACACAAACAGCATCCGATTCCCCGACGAGGTTATACCGGCGATCGACGGATTACCCGTGTGGAACGACGGCAAGAAGTGTATCGAGTGCGGGTATATCCGGCGTACGAGGAACCACATCCAGCAGCATTGCCGGTCAGAGCATGGTTGGGTGAACCCGAGGGGCCGCGGCCGTAAGCCAGGGCGGACGCCGGCAGGCGGATTGGGCGAGGCGTGGGTGGATGGGGTATTTTGCCAGCGGTTCGGGCGGGACGGCGCGTTACAGCGGTTGTTCGAGGTTATACCGCCGCCGGCGGCCACGGCCGGTAGCGACGCCCAGGGCCCAGGCCGGGGCGAGTGCGGGCCGAGGGGCGCCCGAGCGGCCATCCAGGCGCAGTTCGAGGCATTGGCGCGGGCCATCAAGGAGAAAGACGAGGCGGCGGCAGCGTTGATCGGCGAGCAGTCGCGGTTGTCGGCCAACATGTGGGTGCGGCGGACAGGGTGGCCACGGCATTTACACGGGTTCGACCGGGAGTGGTTGGCATCGACGACGAAGCGGCCGGATACCGAGGAGGGGACGACGAGCGGTGGTAGTAGGGGGCACGGGGATCGGGACCAGGGCCGGGATCGTGACCGAGACGAAGCCGAAGAGGAGGCGAGTCGCAGCGGAGGCGAGGATGCGTCGGCCGACGATGACAAGGCGGAGAGCGAGGCCGCGTTGGCCATCGTGTCATTGGCCGTGGAGCGAGTCATTTGGCGGGCGCAGAAGGCGTCGCAGGCCAGCGTGGTCGGATCGGCGGCCGTCCATTACATCGAACGGCGCGAGGTCGGCGGCGATTCGAACGAGAAGCCGTTCAACGCGGGCCAGAAGGGCGCGACGATGGTCAAGTACAGCGCGGTATGGGCGTCGGTGATGGCGCACATATGGCGCACGTGGCATTTGGATCCGGTCGAGGAGGCGGCCGAGGAGGAGGCGGCCGAGGGGGAAGCGGAGGAGGAGGAAGCGGAGGAGGAGGAAGCGGAGGAGCAGGAGGAGGAGCAGGAAGAGGAGCAGGAGGAAGAGGAGGAGGAGGAGCAGGAGGAGCGGGGCGATGGCGACCCGGGGGCGAACGCCCGGATAGAGGGCGGCGAGCCGGAGGGGATCCGAGATCGCCGGCCGGCATACCATTTCACCGCCGAGCAAGCCGAGTTGTTCGATCGGGTTCGCATAGCCGCATACGCGGCGATCGAAGGCCGAGACGAGAGTAGGACCGACGACGGTTCCGGTAGCGCCGAGGACAAAGACGAAGACGACACGAGCGAGTTGGAGGGCCATATATTGGATTTTTTCATCGCGTTGTTGGACCACGACATCGGCGACAACGAGTTCCGGAACGCGTTGTATAGCGGGTTGGCCGTGTTAGGGATCCAGCCGGGGCACGGATGGCGAAGCGCGTTGGTATATACACCCGTGTTGTCGGCGATCGTGACGGTGGCGCGGATGTTGGTGTTGTACAAGGCCAAGCGGGCGCGCGACGAGGAAATCCGGCGCCGACAGCGGTTCGCCGGCGAGAGCAAGGCGAAGGC